AATATCGATTCAGTAATACTATGTCGTATTTTTTAATGCTGGTTACGTCAGTCGTAATTTGTGTTAAAAGCGATAATCGAGGACTGCACGCATCGATTGGGGCAGGGCGGAGCTAGCGACGTAGGGTCCCGCAACGAATACCTGGCGCCGGCCCAAATTGTTGGCAAATTGCCTCTGCCAGGGAGTAGGAATCAATAGCGCCACTCGCGTGAGGCAGCATTCAGACTTCGCGACGGCAGCGCTTCGGTCGCGCGTTCGACGCGATCGATGCAGTCGAAAGCATGCGCATCGATCGTCGAATCGCGCGACCGAAGCGCTGCCGTCGCGAAGTCTGAACGCTGCCTAGAGGTGTACCGTAGCCATCCCCTCAAGAGCTTAAGCAGCGTTCAAACTCGACGCATCGACGCGCTACGTCGTGCTTCGACGCGCTGCGATGGCAACATCGATCTGATGCTAGGTGGGAGCGCAGCCATTGACAGGTATCAATCACTGCCGACCACTCGTGTTTTGAGAGAGATTAAAGGATAACGCGTTAGCGTTACCGCGCGTCATCACCTTTCTGGGACCTGCTGCCGATGCTCTTCTATGAGTGGGTTTCCTGCCAGTTTGGACCGCTAAAATGATAGCGCGTCATCACGAAGTCTGGAAGCTGCCTTATTTTCAGGCTACCTAGTTTATAAGTCACGGAGAGAGCCCATTAAATGATCTATGGCGTTGAAGGACGAGACGCGATGAACAGAACGACCGTTCTTAATTGGTTTTCGGGAACTGGCCCTAAAACGCGCGCAACGTTGACACTCCTCGACTTGCTTCGGTGATAACGAGTGTACAACTTGAAGATTATTCGCATTTGTTTATCTGATTACAACAGATAATGAATGACCTGTTCTGGAAGCTCATCAAGTAGAACCTGCAAAGCACCCCCCCCCTCCATCCCCCATTATTCTGCAGGACATGAAGTACAGATAATGACAGAGTGGATACAGTCGCAGAGGTCGCAGTTCTATGAAGATCATATGTGATCCAAGTGCTGATTGAAATTATTGGCTTTTGCACACCAGGCTTGAGAAGAGTGTTAGGCTGCATTTTCAAGTAGTTATACTATCACTGGAAGATGAACTATCTCTTCATTTTCGAAACTGTGTTTTTTTGAGGAAGGGGAGGTTGAAAGATGGATTGCGTATCCCAGTGATGTGTGACTCCTATCAAAATAATCAAATTAGGGACCATTATTTTCCAGCAGCCATGCTACCCGCGCCTATGTATACTCTTTATCCCTGAGACGGGGTAGGCGTGGCATTCGAACATGGCACGGAACTGGTTACTCGTGGGATATTTAAATTTCAGACAACCGCCATCTTGTTCTTTGTTGGAAAAAGACGTGACCACATTTGGGTCAAAATGAAAATGTCTTTCCACAAGACAGATTAGAGCGGCCGGTGAATCCGTGTTACAGTAACCCGTTGTCATTGGGGCGCGCTGTTGGATTGGAGCATGGCGCACCGGCCCTTCAAACTTTTAACCATGGAAGGTGTAAGAACATAGTTGATTCCTTGAATTGACTTCATCGGTAGGGATTTCGGCACCCTAGTTCCTGAATGTACCATTTATTCGAGTTTGGCGCTTCTGTGATTATGTGCATTAACACTACAAGTGCTAATCACTATTGTAATAATGTGTTGAATAGTTTGAGAATTGCGCTCGTTTCAGCAGTGTATTGAAAATGCCTCGCTCATTGTATAAATACTATTCATTTCACTATTTCATAAATTTTTCATTAATAAGAAGTCATAAGGAAACTACTTCTGAAATACTTAGAGTGTAATACTCACAGTCTTACCAGGAAAGGTCAACAGGTCAGCCTGGCCATTTGCAATGAGGTGCACATCTTTGTACTCGTCTTGAGACGGTGAACTCAAAACAGTCTTCAAAATTTGCAGAACGATCCTCTGAGCGAAGTTATGGAGGTTTTTTTACTGTTTTTCTTCTTCCGGGCGCGCTGGCGCCGAAATGATGGCACCTGTAGCGGGACTCACAGAGCTTTCCGCACAATATAGGTGTCATATTCGTGTTCAGGGGGTTAAATAACCCATGGGGACGGCAGCCCGGCGAAATCTGAGGTTCTGACTCAACTTCGAAAAAATGGGGTATGGATAGTCATGGCTGACTGATAGCCAACAGCGATACTATGACTAGCATACTGGTGATGACTGGTCTTCGAACTGAAATAACTCTTCAGTCATGTCTTTTCGCAAACAACAGTACCTGGCTTACTTATTTGTGCCGTCTGCATCATTTTCTTGACTATCGGGAGGAAATCCCATTCCGAGACCAGTCATCGATGGTAGGTGAGCTCCAATCTGCTGCTAATTACCCATGGAATAGCCCACATTTTCCAAGTGAGGTCGAAATATCAGATTCGGCTAGAAACTTGTCCCCAGGGGTAATTTAACCCGCTGAACATGAATATGATGGTATTTCATTGCAAAAACCCTTGTGACACGTGTTACGAGGGGTACAAGCAGAAGCACTCTTTCAGGCCACAATGGGTCTACACTTTCAAAAAAAACTGATCGCAGGTTCCCTTATAGGGTAGTGCAGGCGAGCAGAGATGTTAGAAGCTTTGTCGGCTATGTTCTTGGACAAATGCAAAAAAGGACCTGCCCCGGAACCGATCCTACGACGTCTCGCCTAAGAAACCCGCTCCCTACCCGTTGCGCTCTACTACCACGTTTCAGCATGACTCCATACATAAATGTAAAGACGCTTCCACGTTTCCTCGCGATAGCATGTGAAACGACCATGCGGGGATAAAACCCTCCATAACTCCGTTCAGAGAATCGTTCTGCAAATTTTGAAGACTGTTCTGAATTCACCGTCTCAAGACGAGTACAACGGTGTGCATTTCATTGGAAATGGCCAGGCTGACCTGTTGACCTTTCCTGGTTAGTTAAGAATACTTCATAATATAATAAACGGACTTTTAGAAGTTAGGGTGCTGAAATTCCAACCCAGTGAGTCAATTAGAGAAAACACAAAAGAGCTTGTAGGGGTTGTCAATGTGAAAAGTTTTCACTCATAAGAATTCATGAGCAAAAACTACTTTGTGTTACTTGTAGTGTTAATGCACATAATCACAGAAGCGCCATAATAACTCGAATAAATGGTACATTCAGGAACTAGGGTGCCGAAATCCCTACCGATGAAGTCAATTCAAGGAATCAACTATGTTCTTACACCTTCCATGGTTAAAAGTTTGAAGGGCCGGTGCGCCATGCTCCAATCCAACAGCGCGCCCCAATGACAACGGGTTACTGTAACACGGATTCACCGGCCGCTCTAATCTGTCTTGTGTATTTCCTAGAGCGCAGCCACCACGCACGGCGTTTAGTTGATGTACGCAGCCACGCCTACCTCATCTCAGGGATTTCGAGTGTCTAAGCAGGCGCAGCCGTCTGGTTTGTCATTTATCAGTTTTTTTTTCAATTACAAGCTTGCACATTTTAGGTGGCTACACAACGTCGTTTGAGAAACAAGCGGGGAACAAGGAAGGTCGCTGATGGAAAACCTGAGCCTGCTATGTCTTATGATGAAATGCTTCAACTCCGCACAGAGATCAGCAAACTCACGAGTGATTCACTCAGCAAAGTCGTCGAAGTTGTAAGAGGCAGAGGAGAGTTTTCGGTATGCGTGAGATCAAACGTTGATCTCGTGATCTATTGATTTCGACATTTGCCTGTTATCGATCGGGCCCAACATTACAGCGTAGCGCTCCAGAGGAGGTGGAAATAGATTTTGGATGTATCAGTGCTGATACAGTTCGAGAACTCAAGGCTCTTCTTAGCTGCCGCTCAGGAGCAGGAACCGCAACAGAGTGAGCATTTCACATTAAGATTAACCTCTACCTGGGATCCTCTACCTGCTCACGTTCACTCATCGTTGTCTAACTGCAACATTTCAGCGAATGATAATGAGCTGAGCGAAACCAGAAAGTTGAGGCTACAGGATGAGAAGTCCAATGAAGTTCTTTCGTCTGAGCAATCGGACGAGAGCGGTGCG